ACAGGAGGACTCGCACATCACATAGAGATGTAGATATATATTCATATCTATATAAGTGTAGCACAGCGTGCATACCTGATGTTTCTGGCGCAGAGAGGAAACGGTGGGAACCGGTAAACAGGAGAAAGGTGCCACATGAAGACGGGTCAAGGGTACAATACGGAGAGAGAGAGACGGTACATATTTGACAAAAGTGGACAGGAGATTGAAAAGCCGAGGAGAGAAATCTCCCGTGGACTACTACTCCATCCTGCGTCTGATCCGTGGGTGGCAGTGATGAGTGATGGAGGACCACTCAAACCGAAGGTCGTATCCGGGGCCCCTGCCATTTAGACTGCCACTGTCGCCGGGGAGGGATGAATAAAGCTTTCACTCCGGCGTTTATTCACCCGGCTTTCGCTCTGTGGCTTTGTCAGAGGAGGAGGGAGAATGGATGATGGGATCGTCAATAGGTGATTCAGAGATGAATATGTATTGGATTTATCTTATCGTTCTTATTTTCCACAAAAGACATTCCAACACCCTCAGATTAATGTAACGAGACTGAAATCCTCCTTTTCATTCTGTCACTCGACACACAACGAGTTTCTCTTTGGATGTTAGTTGTCCCACAATAGGGACACTGAGCGAAGGGGAATGAAAAGATCGCTTCCCTCAATCCAGCTCAGTCGGATTTGGGCGATCGGTGTGATTATTTTGCACAAGTGAGGGAACAGACAGCGACGAAAATGACAAAACCATTTGTTGTCGGGGGGGGGGGGGGGGCGGCGCGAGAGGGGACTAATTCCCTGGAGGGAAGCAGGGCGTGTGTCTGAATTTGGCACGGCCGGATTGTCAAAAGACTGAAGGACAGCGGTCGATCACCGCGGTCTGGCCCGGGACACAAAGCCCTTCGTCTGGCGCTGAAACCGGAGCCGGGGGCTCAGATGGGGCCGTTATCCCCCCCCCCCCTAGATCCCCCAGGCGGGCCGGATTCTTTCGGCCAGACGACCTTCGCTGCCCAGACTCTAATATCTGATCAAGGACCATCTGCTGGGGCTGCCAGAGCCCAAACGCCGGCCCAGACCTCTCCGAGTGGAGCCCGGTGGGAAATCAAGCTATTAGCGGGTAATCGGGGTGATTGCGATGGCCGTCGGAGGGGGGCAACGCGGCACCGCAAGATCACCGCAGGGACGACACTGTGGCTGCTGTATTGATCACACAATCTTCTATTCTGAGCTTCTTTTTTTTCCCACCACCTCTCCGTCTAATCTGCCGTTTCTGTTGACAGGTTTGAATATGTTCCTCATTTAAATGTGAACCTTTTCTACAACACGGGGATGCGCAACAAGGTGAAGTTTGCCATCCGAGTTTGCTCAAAAAAAGAAAGAAAAAAAACATACCTGAAAATAAAGCCGCTCCGAAATCCGGCCGTGTGGCCTCGAGCGGACAGTGCGGCTCACAGGAAGTGGTGCAGCACCGATAGCGGCCGGTTCAACGGGCGATGTGCCGCACCGGCGCGATGCTGCACGCTCTGTTTTCGTTTTGCTGCTGCGGTGCAGTAATTAATCCAAAGGATTGTGCTGGCAAAATAAATGCTTTCCATTTTCATTAATAGACAACTCATTAGCGCATAATGAGCAAGACGGCAGCCGCTCCCCGTGCACGATGAGCATGCGCCTCGCTCGACTAATTAAAACCCAGCATTTTCATTCCGTCTTGTTGTTTTCTTGTGTGAAAGCGGCACCGGGCATTCGCTTTTAAAACGTTGCATGGACGAATCACCGCTGAAGGCAGTGAAAAGGTGTCTGTTTTCATCAGGGCGTTCCTGTGGAGCTTCCTGCTGAAGGGGACATCGTCCTCGAGAGCACCTGTTGCACCCGGTGGAATAAGAGTGGTTGTGATTGACATCTCTTGAGAGAAAACTCACTCGGGATTCTGTACCCTAAAGAATAAAAAACAGAGCACACTTGGAGACATTTAACACGGAATCATGTGATCCTCAGCGTCCAGGTCAACGGTCACGACTGACTGGTGTCACCATCCGGCGCGAGCGCGATGAAGAGAACGCTTCAGCGCTGGAATTCACCCTCAATTGCATCATAGGGACGAAATATCAGTCGCGGCTAATCATCTGAGGACAGACCCTCTTGTTTCCTCTCCTTCACACGCCAGAGCTGAAATGCAGTCGTCCTTATCTCGCGCTCACTTGCAGCGCCTTTTCCGGTCGCGCCGCGGTTTTCTAATGTGCGCAGATGAAGCGATGATTAGCCGCGGAGGATTCCTCACTTCATGGCGCGGCTAAAATCGAACCCAATTGCTGGCTGTAATTAAAACTGTTACCCGAGCGAAACCGCTGCAAGGCCACAACTTCAAGAGGTCAATAGAAGACAGGTTTCCAATAGCCGTCTAATTTAATCAGCGCGGGATGTATAGTGTATGTTGGGGATCAGCGGGTCAACACGTGCAAAGGTTTTTTACCAGAGACACAAACAACAACGGCGTCTGTCCCGCCCGAAGCCGCGGCCGCGCAGCGTTTGTGCGCCAGAAAGGATCCAGCGCAGATGCCGCACAGCGCTTGCGACGGTACACGAGGTGGAGAGACACATCTGTGCCCCGTCCGCCGAGAGGCTTCCCCCTCATCGTTGACGACGCGTCCATCCGTCACAGCGTGCGCGGCGGCGTTAATCGAGCCCCGTGCGGGTGGGCCGATCCTTCATTCAGACACGCGAGGGGAGTGGGGGGCAAAAGCAGCTCATTGGTCACAAACCAGAGGAAGGATCCTCACTCAAGCTGAAGCTCTCCTTGCACATCACGTCCTGTGTTTTGATGCTCCCAAGTGACAGATGGCCCGCAATGTGCCAAACTGCGCCGGAAAGTGCTGACGGCGAAAAAAACGTCGCTTTCAGCAGCGCGGCAACTTCGGCGCCGTTCGTTACGTGGGAGAGACGTCCGACCGAGACCAGATGGGGAGTCGTTTCACTGTTTGAAGACCCGATCTGCCGCCGAGGCGGGCGGAAGGACGTCTTCCCTTTTCCTCGCTCGCCACTTTGCACGTCGATGGCAACCACGGGGTTGACTTCCATCCAGGAGATTTGGTGTAAAAAAGGCCGTCCTTACTTTGAGTATCCACCGATTCAAGCACAGCCACGAAAACGGGGAGTTCAAGCCTTTAGGGCCTTTAAAGTTTTCCGCGACTTCGCTTCTGTTTCATCAGCCTTTAAAACTGGAAGCTAAACTAAATGTGAACATTGCTTGTTTGCCTTTTGACTCTCTGTTCTATTGAAACGATGGAGATCATATCGCATTCCAGCGTTAGGATGAGAGGGCGCACGTCTGCTGAATAAATGAACCACGGTAGAATCACGCTTCTTCATCATCTTTGACATCGAGGGGCACAAATAGCTGGAATGCAAACATTTCTTCAGAAGCAGGAGATGTTTGCTTGCTGACTTATTTTGTAAACCGGTCTATAAAGAAGTAGCCGTCGGTGTCCTCGGGCGTTCTCATGGCCAATTCTTGACTTTGCGAGGCTTCCATACGTTCCCCGGCTATCGACGCGCGGCCCGCTTTACATAATACTCCAACGCGCCGGGGGCCCATCAAAGCGCCGCCCGCATACGCACTGCAAATTAGTCTCCAAATCCATACAAGTCCGCTGAAGGAATGCAGTAATCAATGAACGGAGGTTTTTCCCTCCCCAAACGGCGGCGTTGTTCACAGCAATCAAGCGCGGCGCGTCTCTGCTCCGAGCCGGGCCGAGGGGAGAGGTGCTGCTTTCTGTTACAAGTTATTATCGACGAACCGACGGCTGTCTGGTCGTTATTCATCATTACCCAAAAAGGGTTTGTTCATCTTCTTCTGATTCCTCCCCCGCACACACACACACACACACACATACAATATACACGACACGTCTCGCACCCAAGACTGGTTGGCCGTGCAGCAGCGCAGGGGGGAATAAATGAGCCGCGATTGACGTTATTCGATTCATTTGTGTTTCGAGTGGAGCCCGAGCGGTCTCCTCTCCTCCTGTAAAAATGGGAATTCAAATCACTTCAGATGACATGCGTCCCTCTTTGTGTGTGTTTTGTTGAAATGTTTATTAATCTCATTAAAACTGATCTTCTCAGCTTCGAGAAACCTTGAAGACAGTCGACTTTTGCTCAGGCACTTGCCAGAAAATCCTCTGCCAAATTATGTTCCTTTTTTCATTATACACGTGAACAGTAGAGTTGGGAGCAGGATATACGAGCTCATGTCTTATCGTCTATGTGGCCACGCCGAAGGTTCGACAGCGCTGAGAGTCTGTAAAGCCTTTCGGGTCAGAAGGAAAACGGTACCACGGGTTCTTCCTTCGGTGACGAGCGTGACTGCGCCGGGACTCTCAGCGCCCCGCCAACTAATTAACGGACGCCTCCGCTCAGATTCCGGCCGCCGTGCAGGCGGACGATCAGACCGCGTAATAACCGGGGGGGGGCCAATATTTGCTCAAATCCACCGTAAACACCTCGCGAAAGACAAAAGTGTGCAAAGCCTTGACGCTCGGTCCAATCCCACGGCACGCTGCCCCCATAAACAGCCGGGACAGCCATCTTTGCTCTGGCAATTAGGCGGAGCTTTTTGGATTACGACTTCTTGAGCCCCGGCGCACCACAAATCCATCCGGATTCAATTAGCCCCCCCCCCCCCTCCCCCTCTGTGTCTGTGACCATTTGGGCTTTTCGGGCACAAGGCCAGTAGAGAAACATTCAACAAAGTTACTATAACAAAGAACTTTTTATTTATTCCTTCACCCCCCCCAACGTTTGACAAATCTATTAAATAAAAAATGAAAGCATGGGAGCTCACAGGCATCGTCCGTGTAAATATTTCATGAGAACTGTAAGCTGGATTTGGTGTTTTCTCCTCCGTCGTCGCTGATGGGCTCCGAGTAACGAACCCGACTGTAAGGATGAGTGTGTTGTGTTGTGTTGTTGCCCGCCGGCTCTCTTGACACGTCTCCTCTTTTCCCTCCGCAGATACCGCGCTGCCATCGCAGAAAGGTAAGGCGGCACTCAGTCAGGCACCTGTGGATCTCTCTCTGTCTCCTCTGAAACCCCCGAATGTTCCCGATAACGTCTCTTTTAAAGAGTCCCTTGTTTCCGTTGTGGAGACGAATCACCGTTTTGTTCAGAACTCCTTCCTTCCATATTTGCATATGCATACATATCTTGGGAAAGAAGGGCAGGGAACTGGGGGGGGGCAGTCAGATGGTCTAAACAGCTCCAGGGGGTCTACTTCTGAGTTGCAGCCCCCAGAACGCCGGCTCTCAATCGCGGCGGAGGGCGTGTCACGTGTCACAACGCCGCTGAAAATATTGTCATTGTCCCCTGCTGATGGAATGTGCCCGACATGTGTACACGTGTAAACATCAACAGCGGGGGGGGGGGCGCAGTGACATAAGGCAAACGTTTGGATACGTTTTCTAATTTGATTGAATGCGAAAGTGTCCAAACTTTTGACTGGTACTAAATATATACATTTATTTTTTCACCTTCAGATGCTTGTAGATTCTGTGCCTTGATATATAATCTGTCTGGGTGTCAGGCTACGCTTAGTGTGCCTCCTCCACACACACACACACACACACACACACACACGGCGCTGTCAGATGGGCCCGTAAAGGTAAGTGATGTGTGTCGCGGGAGCTTCACTCTCTGATAGATGCTGAAGGGGAGCGGAGGCCCGTCCAACACCTCCGATTGAAATCCGTCAGCGGAAGCGTCTCCGTGTCCCGTGCGCCACGAGAGAGACGAGCCGGCGCTTCCCGTTGGTACACCGAGTTGTATCGCGGCCACCGGAAGGGTTTTTCTTCTAACCTCAGCGATATCGTGATTAATAAAGGACCTTTTCATAATGTGACCTTATTCTTTAGTTCGCTACTCCTGCGGAAAAATCCCCGCCCCACCCTCTACCATGACATCCTTTATCTCACCCCTCCTCCCCCCCCTTACACTCCTCCTGCCTCCCCCTCCTCTGCCAAATGAAGTGTATTTATGGCACCTGTGCTGGAAAAACTGTCTCCAGGAGACGTCCCTCTAATTTCATTTTCAAAATGCCAGCGATAAATTTATCAAATGGCGCTGGATCGAATCGGAGTCACACGCAGTGCCATCCGTCACAGGCTGTCCCCCGGGGGGCGGGAGGGGGGAGGGCGGCGTAGGCGTACTTAAGCCAGCCAAGAACCTCTGCTGGCAGGAGTAAAAGACTGAGCGTTAGGGGACGGATCTTCTCGACGGGAGGAGAAACCAGACGAATGTGCTGGCAAAAAAATAAAAATAACGCGCTCGGGCCCACGTGCGTCAGTTCGGGAGCTTGCGTGAGTGCAGACGGGGGTCAATACTGAGTCCGGGCCCCAACCCGGAGGCCCGGCGGTGGGATCTCCGCTCGGCGCGATGGCTGATTCACTGCAACATACGTTCATTGATCGTTTGGCCCGTTTCTGCATTCGCAAATCCCTCTCGGGTTCAAGCGCCGCTTTGAGCTTCCTCCCGTCGCCCGCCTTTGAAAAACGCCAGGTTCACACGCCCTGTGGCCTCTCAATCCCCCCCCCTCCTCTCCCCCTCACCTGACTCTGGCAACTTTTCCTCTCTTCATAAGTGCGCTCGTGCCCGGGCGCGAGTGAGGGCGAAGCCGCTCAGAGCTGACGGGGGGGCCGATGAAGTCGCGGCCCGTAAACTCCTCTGCCAGGGACACGCGCTCCGATTGGTGGCGAGAAGCGGCTGTTGTTTCTCTGTCGCGCGTCCCTTTGCACATTTTGGCGCGTGCACGCACTCAACCGCTAAGCGGCCCGTCCATCACGTGCGCGCTGTCACACGCAGGCTCTGCTCCCACGGCTGCGCAGACGTTGATTAACGACTCTAAACGCGGCATCGAGGGAATTCGCGGCGAGGTGACGGGTAGAAAAAGAACGCCAGAGATTCAGAGAACAATCGGGCTATTGATTCCTGTCAGGTGGAGGGGAAATAAAGAGTGGGAGATTTAGCTCCCGCGTCCATGAGCAGATTGTAAACAGGCGCTGTGATCCGAGCCTCTCATCGCTGCCGAAACCCCTCCCCTCTCTCCCCCCCCAGAGTGAAACTCTGCTAATCGATCAATCAAGACAAACGACAACGTCTCCGAACGTTTTTCAGCTTTTCAACTTCATCTCTCATTTTTTTTGGGTGCGCATTGGTGGCGGCTTAATGTGCGGTTGTGGGGCGCAGGTCAGCGAGGGGATCAGCGAGGGGGTCAGCGAGTCAACAAGCTGCCTGCTAGGCGGCGTGAAAGGGGGCGCGGCTGCTCTTTGGCCCCCATTAGCCCCACGTGCTAATTGTCCACACAACGCCGTCGTCTCTCTCTCTCTCCTTCGTTCCTCCCAACCGCCGCATTTGAAACATTCTGTCTTCACGCCGGTGATTTTGTGTGAAAACGGCTCCTTTAGCTCCAGTTAAACAAATGTGTGTGTGCGTGCGTTGCTGCCTCCGCTCACGCGTGTCTCTCGGTTTGCGAATCTCCTTGAAAATATACTTTCGCGGAGGATTGAATCTTATTTTGAGGCAATGATTGATGTAAACGCTGTAATTGGGAATATGGGGCATCCGGCTCCTCCGGGGCAAAAAGATCTGACCCCGGTGAGCAGCTTTGTCCCATCGTGTGTGTGTGTGTGTGGGGGGGGGGGGGGATAAGAGGCCAAATATACAGCACCTTCTCCGTTAAGGTGGACAAATGCTTTACATGTGCAGACTTCCTTCACGCCGTGTTCTGCCCGGAGCAGTTTAGAGTTTTAAATCTATTAATAATTTTGAGAGTCTAGTAATTTACCACTAAGCTAAAGGCTACTTCTGACAGCACAGCACACATTTACAAAGAACACGTCAGAAGGCCTGTCATTGGAATGTGATGGTGAAACTGGGCTCCTGGTGTGTTTTGGCACGCGGCCCCTCTAACGTACTCATCAGAGTTCACAGCTTAGCTCTCACAATTGTTAACTGATAGCCGCCACGCACTGGTCCTCACGCGATCTCAACTCGAATCCGGCTCCGAAAAGCACCGCCGAGTGCGAGGAGACCCGACGGTAAACATGGAGTTGACGACTACTGCAGGGGTCTAAATGATGATGTGTGAGAGACCTCGTTAGAGGAAAGACAATGCAATTAAAAGCTCATCAAGCCCACTTGATTCTGCCGTTTTAAAGCCCATCCCTGAAACCCCTAATGTTTATGGTGCTTTCATTTTTAAGTAAATTTGTACCTTGTCGTTACTGTTTTGACAGTTAAGAGGTTAAATGTGGCAAGAACGACCATGAAGAGAACGATGCTATTCACACTAAAAGCTATTACATTTGGATTAGTGTTTTAATTACTAATATGGCTTTCTAACGCATTACATAATGAATCTGTACGTGGTGAATAATGGTAAGTACAAGAATCGCAACATGAATCTCAAAAATTACAAATGTTTTACAATCATTATGTTGTATGATTATTTGTTAAAAGCAATAAAAGAGAGTTGAGCCTCAATCTAAAACACGTGCAATGTGTCCTCATGTAGGAGGGTGTCCTTTTATCGAAGACCGTCAAATCCACTTTTATTCAGATTACTTCATTTGTTCCCCACTCATTTGGTTTGTAGGATGCATAACTAGACTTAACAATTCTCTGCATTTCTTTTCCTCTGCTGGTTAATTACCGGTAATTAGATGTTGTATGTTGCTAATGGCAAGCTGGGTAATGAGGACAAAATATACAAATGATATAAATCCAATGCGTGTCGCAGGGTCAAGTGACTTCCTTCATTTCTATAATGAAAACAGGACATTATTACACATTATTATATCAGCCGCAGTAATTATTTTGGTTGTTTTTAAAGCGCCCGATGATATGATGGTGGTGCTGTGATTTACTGTTGTTAGTACGCTGTCTTTACTTCTGTTAGTTATACATTAATACAATAATGTGTCCTTTTCAAACACAAACATGGCAGCAAGGCCGCGTCCTTTTCTTGAACGCTTCCCACTGTAATATTACAGCCATTCTTGCTCTAAAAGGGATGAAGCCCACGGACGTACCCGACCCCCGACCTCTCCTTTAATAACAGTCCTTTAGTAATGGTGGGCTGAAGACTGTGGTGCCTGCAGGTTGAATCTTAATGAATCATAATCACTTGATGACGGTTAATCTTGCACCATTGTCAAGTTTGTGTCCGTCCCAATGCTTCGTTTAACGCCTCACTCAGCCTTCACATGTGTGTTCCGTGCTGTTTAGCTACATTTAGCTGCTTAAATCGTCAAACCAAGTTGGCGAGCATGTAAACAATTGCTCAACGATGGCTTAGCAAACCCAACACTCATGCACAGGTGCTGCTGTGCACTCTTGGACAGTCGTGTTCATCTTCTCCCTCTCCGTCACGGCAGTGCAGCAGTAGTATGCTCAGTGAACACAAGCCCGTCCATGCAAGATGAATTTGAATGACAACCCGCTGCACAAATAGGCTTTTATAAACTTACTGTCACAAAGCTAGTTGACATTACAAACACACATTTTGTGCGTGTCCAAGGCCACCCACACAAAGAAAACAGCATTCTTACTCTAATTTACCTCCATCAACCTGCTCCCACGTTTTTATTTAATGCAATTAAAAGCCGTGAGTGCAACAGGACTTGCTTTTGGTCTTCCAAAAGCACACATGCATGTTCTCTTATTCATTTGTTACTGCTACTAATAATACCGACTGAGATGGGTTTGTTTTTCAGACCAAAACTAATTACATTGACCTTAAAGCACGTGTCCTTTTTTAAATGAAATATTGCGTACTCTGCAGGGTCGTCACAGGCCTGATCTTAGTCTGCTACCTCCTAATAAGGTCTGTGATGTGTGGGATTTAAAGGCCACCAGAAGACGCTGTAAGTTCACGCTGGACCCTCGAAGACGAGCGAAAAATTAAAACTTCTGTGCCAGGATTTGGGGGGACAAAGGACACTGGTTGTGAGCGGTGGTCTCTACTGCGACGCCCCTGGACCCAT